CTCCCGTTTGTCGGCCGCCGTTGCAGCTGGAGGGGCTGCGCCGCGCTGGGCGTCCGTGCTTTCTCGCCCTCGGGGCGGCGGCGGCCGCGGCTGGTGCGAGGCTTCGGTGCGCCCTCGGCAGCGCCGGGGCCTCGCCGGCCTTGCCCGCTCTCCCTCCGCTCTGCAGCGGCCGCTGGCCCCGCAGCCTGCCCTCGGGTTCCGCGCGGCGCCCGCAGCGCCGAGCTCCCGAAAGGTTGTGGGTGCGTGTGGGGGTGTGCGTGAGGTGCGTGTGCGTGACCTCGGCGCCGCCGGCGTGGCTCTGCAGGGCTTTGAGATCAGGCTGCCGCTGTGCGAACCCCGCTTGGCTGTCTTCGGCAGCTGCCCCTTAAACGTGTTCTTGAGTTTCCTGTTAGAAACAGCCTGCAGCAGGGTATCTCCGAGGAGGAACTAGTTTTGGACGTGTGGTTCCCTTGTCCTGGAGCTAGGATGTTTTCAGGACTGAGGTCCCAACATCTGGGTTGATGTGTTTATTGTCAAACACCAGAACGGCGTCCAAGGCTGCAGTGGAGTTTCCCACATGCTTAAATTTAAACGAATGTCTGCGTGGCTTCAGCACTTAAACGTTTTCCTAAGCTGTGAATGGCAGCGAGGATGAAACTGTTTATATATGAAGTTAGTAATTAGGAAGTGGTATGGGAGAGAAAACAAGACATTGTTCTTTGGGCCTGGAGGGTGAAGAAATGAGATATCTAAGTAGTTTCGTAGATTGTATTTTTAGTGGTGCCTATGTCTTGGCAGACTGACTTGGATAGTTTATGGGAGTCTGCAGTATGGGTGTTTACACTGGTGGAAATCTTGCTCTGAAGTGAAGTAGGTTTTACAGGTAAGTTCCTCTTGAAATTTGTGGCTGACAGCATATTAGAGGATTACAATGCTGAAAGTGGAGGAACAACTTGAATTTTTGCCTTTGGATTTTATTACATTGCTCAAAAATAGCTTTTCCTATATGCTGAGGCTGCACATCACATAGGGAAGACCAGTCTCTTCTGTCTAGCTATTTGGGCCTTCCAAATAAAATATGTAAGAGAAAAATATTCTTCCAATATAGGTGAAGTGGAAATTGAGGTTTTACCTGATGAAACTGTATTTCAACTTCTTGTTTGGAAATTGCTTGGACGTTCTTGATGTGGACAGTAACCTTATCTTAAAGCTGGATCTCAAAACCTCTCCCAGCCTTCCCACACTCTTAATAATCTGATAGACAAATCGACCTAATATGCTACCATTGGGAGATAAAAGCTTTTGTATTTCTAAGGATTTGGAAAATCTTGGCTACTCATTATATTATATTATCATATAATGAAACAAATACCTTACCGTTGGATTAGGAAATGCTGAGCTTTTTCTTTTTCAAAAAGGGAAGGGGCTTTTGGGGTTTGCCCTGGAGTTTTGGTATTCACTAGCACACATCCTGTGCTTAAAAGTTCTGTGCTTGGAATAGTCAGAACCAATTTTCTCAAAAATCTCTTCAAAGTGCCCAAGTTAAATGATTAAGTTTTACAGTATACTTAAGTCACAGTAGCAGGTGAATGTTTGTTGTTAGTGGTGATCTTAAAAATACATAAAATGTTTTCATCTCTGATTCATCTTTTTGAGAGAGCATGTCATAATTTACAGACAAATCCAGGACATCTTTAAATTGGGGGTGAGGAATGTATGGGGTTTTTTCTCCAAGGAAAAAGACTGTTATTCTGACTTTTACAGTCTACCTGTTTCATTCAAATATTTACCATCAGGGGAAAAATGATACACTAAACTCTGGCATTAGGGCTGAACTTGGATTGTTTTGCTGAGCATCCTTTTTGTCATGCTCTTGAAAGCAGGTGTCTCCTATTGGTGGTCCTAATACATTAACTTTGGATGAAAGTGATCTGGTCTTTAGACATTAGGGGTTAGTGAAATTACTGTAGTTTACAAATAAGATTGAGAGAATGTTTACTGTTTCTTTTCCCGCAGGAGGAAAGTGTTTAGTGAAGGCTGGTTTGGTTTCTTTTGTTTGTTTGTTGTTTTTTTTTTTGCTATTGCTGTTGCTTTTGTATTCTTCTCCCAGTGTGTGTTAACAGAAG